TGTGTGAACATAAATTTTCAGCTCATTTGGATAAATATCACGGAGTGTAAATGTTGTATCTTAAGAGTGTATTTAGTTTTGAAAGGAACTGCCAAACTGCTTATAAGTGATGACTCCATTTTGCACTCTCATAGGGAATAAAAAGCTCCTATGGCTCCATAACCATAACTAATATGTAGTGTCAATATTTTGGATGTTGGCCATTCCAATAGGTGTGTAGTGATATCTCACTGTTGTTTTAGTTTACATTTTCCTGAGGTTATAGAGTTGAACAAACTGTCATGTGCTTATTTCCCATCTTTGTATCTCCTTTGGTGAAATGTCTGTTCAGGTCTTTTGCCTGCTTTTAATTTAGTTGTTTATTTCTGAATTTTAAGAGCTCTTGGTGTGTTTTTGTTAACAAATTTTAATTTTTTTAAGATTTATTTTATTTGAGAGGTAGAGTTACAGACAGTGAGGGAGAGACAGAGAGAAAGGTCTTCCTTCTGTTGGTTCACTTCCCAAATGGCCACAATGGCCAGAGCTACGCCGATCTGAAGCCAGGAGCTAGGAGCTTCTTTCTAGTCTCCTATGCAGGTGCAGGGGCCCAAGGACTTGGGCCATCTTCTACTGCTTTCCCAGGCCACAGCAGAGAGCTGGATGGGAAGAGGAGCAGCCAAGATTAGAACCAGTGCCTATATGGGATTCCAGTGCTGCAGGCAGAAGATTAACCTAACTGCGCCACAGTGCTGGCCCCTGTTAAAAGTTCTTTATCAGATATGTCCTTTGCAAATATTTTCTCCCCGTCTGTGACTTCTATCATTCTCTCAACAGTATTTTTCACAGAGCAGAAGTTTATAATGTTCACTTCATCTTTCATTTCTTACATACATTGTGTCATTGGTGGTGTCCATAAAATGTTAATGCCATGTACCCAAGGTCATGTAGGTATTTTTTTTTTTTTTTTACTGTTAAAGTTATCTTCCAGGCATCTTACAGTTCTACACTTACATTTAGTTCTTTGATTTATTTTTGATTCTTTTTTGTATTTAAAGATTTAGTTCATTTATTTGAAAGGCAGAAAGAGAGAAAGGAAGAGACATATCTTCCATCTGTTGGTTCACTTCCCAAATGACCAAAATGGCATTGCCAGGCTGAAGCCAGGAACCCAGAACTCAGTTTGGGTCTCCCATGTGGGTGGCAGAGGTACAACTCCATGGGCCATTTTCTGCTGCCTTCCCAGGCGCTTTAGCAGGGGTCTGGATTGGAAGTGGATCGGCAGGGACTCAAACTGGCACTCTCATGGGGATACTGGCAGCGGGTTAACTGCTGTGCCACAACACTGGCCACCATTTTTAATTAATTCTTATGTAAGGTGTAAGGTGTGCATCAAAGTTTGTTTTTGTGAATGTTTTTACCCAATTTTTCTAACACTATTTGTTGGAAGTCTGTGCCTTTTCTCCAATGTATTGCCTTTGCTCCTTTGTCAAAGATCAATAAACTGTTTTTGTGGTCTGTCTCTGAGTTCTGTGGTTTGTTCCACTGATAGATTTGTTTATTCTTTTTCTTATTTACTGTAGTTTTAAAAATAAGCCTTGGAGTCAGGTAGTGTTGGTTCTCTAACATGTTCTTTTCCTTTAATATTTTTGATCTTTTACATCTCTATTTAAACTGTACAGCTATTTTGTTTCCATGCACAAAATAACTTGCTGGTGTATTGATTAGAATTACATAGGATATGTAGATAAAATGGGAAAGAACTGGCATCATGACTGTCTTGAGTCTTTTTATCCATTAATGTGAATGTGTTTTTATTTACTTAGTTCTTTTTTGATATCTTTCATCGGTTTTCTAATTTTCCTCATGCATCTTTTTTTTTAACTTTTATTTAATAAATATAAATTTCCAAAGTACAGCTTATGGAGTGCAATGGTTTTTCCCCCCTATAACTTCCCTCCCACCCGCAGCCCTCCCATCTCCCGCTCCCTCTCCCTCTCGCATTCCATTCACATCAAGATTCATTTTCAATTATCTTTATATAAAGAGGATCAATTTAGTATATATTAAGTAAAGATTTCAACAGTTTGCACCCACACAGAAACACAAAATGTAAAATATTGTTTGAATACTAGTTATAGCATTAACTAATTAATTAATCAGTAATCACCCTAGGCTCTTTATTTTTATTTTTATTTATTTATTTTTTTTGACAGCAGAGTGGACAGTGAGAGAGAGAGAGAGAAATAGTTTAGAAAGGTCTTCCTTTACCGTAGGTTCACCCTCCAATGGCTGCCGTGGCTGGCGCACCGTGCTGATCCGAAGCCAGGAGCCAGGTACTTCTCTTGGTCTCCCATGTGGGTGCAGGGCCCAAGCACTTGGGCCATCCTCCACTGCACTCCCTGGCCACAGCAGAGAGCTGGCCTGGAAGAGGGGCAACTGGGACAGAATCTGGCGCCCTGATCGGGACTAGAACCCCGTGTGCTGGCGCCGCAGGTGGAGGATTAGCATATTGAGCCCCGGCGCTGGCCCACCCTAGGTTCTTGTCATGACTTGCCAACTCATGCATCTTAAATATGATCTGTTGGATTTATTCCTAAGTATTTCACTTCTGGGGAGCTAATGTAAATGGAAGTAATTTTAATAAATTTCCACTGTTCATCACTGAAATATAGGAAAGTGATTAAGTTTGTATATTAATTAACCTTGTATTCTGCAGACTTATTCTAATTATTTTCAGGAGAATTTTTGTCAGTTCTTTTAGATTTTCTGTATAGATGATAGCGATGTCTATAAATAAAGTTTTATTTCTTGCTTTCCAGTCTTACAGCTTTTTAAAAAAATTTTTTTAAATTTATTTGACAGGTAGAGTTAGAGACAGTGAGAGAGAAAGAGAGAGAGAGAGAGAGAAAGGTCTTCCTTCCATTGGACCACTCCCTAAATGGCCGCTACACTCGGCGCTGCACTGATCCAAAGCCAAGAGCCAGGTGCCTTCTCCTGGCCTCCCACGCGAGTGCAGGGCCCAAGCACTTAGACTATCCTCTACTGCCCTCTCGGGCCACAGCAGAGAGCTGGACTGGCAGAGGAGCAACCAGGACTAGAACTGGCACCCATATGGGATGCCGGCACCACAGGTAGAGGATTAACCAAGTGAGCCATGGTGCCGGCCCCTAGTCTTATAGCTTTTATTTCCTTTATTTTGTCTTACTGAATTAGCTAAGATTTCCACCAATGCATTGAAAAGCGTTTGTGAGCAGGCATATCCTTGGCTTGTTCCTGATATTGGGGGGAAAGTATTGGTTTCTCATCATTAAGTATAATATTAGCTGTGTATTTATTTTTTTTATAGGCAGAGTGGACAGTGAGAGAGAGAGACAGAGAGAAAGATCTTCCTTTTGCCGTTGGTTCACCCTCCAATGGCCGCCGCGGCTGGTGCACCGCCTGGTCCAAAGGCAGGAGCCAGGTGCTTCTCCTGGTCTTCCATGGGGTGCAGGGCCCAAGCACTTGGGCCATCCTCCACTGCACTCCCCGGCTACAGCAGAGAGCTGGCCTGGAAGAGGGGCAACCGGGACAGAATCCAGTGCCCCAGCTGGGACTAGAACCCGGTGTGCTGGCGCCGCAGGTGGAGGATTAGCCTATTGAGCTGCAGCACCGGCCAGCTGTATATTTTTTTATACATGTTGTTTATAACGTTGAGGAAGTTCCCTCCTACTTTGCATAATTTTTATTATGCTTAGGTGTTAGAATTGCGCTATGCTTTTTCTGTGTTTATTGATATATTCATGTGATTTTTTTTTCTTCTTTAGCCAATTTGATGTGATCTTACATTAGTTAATTTTCAAATCTGAAAACCAGCCTTGTATACCTAGGATATATCCTGCTGGGTCTTGGTGTATCATTCCTTTTTATATATTACTGGATTTAATTTGCTAATAAAGTGTTGAGAGATTCTTCATTTGTGTCTATGAGAGATATTGGACAGTAGTTTGTTTTTATGTGATATCTTGGTCTGGTTTTGGTATTAGAGTAGTGCTGGACTCACAGAATAAGACAGGAACTATTCCTTGTGCTTTTATCTTTTGGAAGGCTTTGTAAAGAATTGATGTAATGTTTTTAAATATTTGACAGAATTCACCTATGAACACATATGAGGTGGTTCTTTCTGTTTTGGAGGATAATTGCTGAATCATCTGCTTTAATAGATACAGACCTGGGGCTGGCGCTGTAGCGTAGTGGGTGAAGGTGCCGCCTGCAGTGCTGGCATCCCATATGGGAGCTGGTTCGAGACCTGGCTACTCCACTTCTGATCGAGCTCTCTGCTATGGCCTGGGAGAGCAATGGAAGATGGCCCAAGTCCTTGGGCTCCTGCACCCACGCGGTAGGCATGGAGGAAGCTCCTGGCTCCTGGCTTAGGATTGGCACTGCTCTGCAGCCAGTTGGGGAGTGAATAAGCAGTTGGAAGATCTCTCTCTCTCTCTGCCTCTCTGCCTCTCTTTCTCTCTCTATGTAACTCTGACTTTCAAATAAATAAATAAATCTTTAGAAAATAATAGATACAGACCCAAGCGATTTTTTTTTTTTTTTTTTTTTTTTGACAGAGAGAGAGAGACAGAGAGAAAGGTCTTCCTTTACTGTTGGTTCACCCTCCAATGGCTGCTGCGGCTGGCACACCGCGCTGATCCGAAGCCAGGAGCCAGGTGCTTCTCCTGGTCTCCCATGTGGGTGCAGGGCCCAAGCACGTGGCCATCTTCCACTGCACTCCCGGGCCACAGCAGAGAGCTGGACTGGAAGAGGGGCAACTGGGACAGAGTCCGGCGCCCGGACCAGGACTAGAACCTGGTGTGCTGGCGCCGCAGGTGGAAGACTAGCCTATTAGTTGATTTGCTTGGAATATTGAAAGCTTATTATTGTATATTTATATAATATTTTTATTGCACTTAGAAAATACTTTCAGAGTATTCTATACGTGAACTTATTCCTATATATTTTGTAAGATATTAATAAATATACAACTTTTTTTCCAGCCTAGTGTGTTAATTGTAACCTACAAGGAATCCACAAAATCATCTACTCAGTTTGGATCCTACAAGCAAACTGAATGGAGGCCAGATAGTACCATGATAGCTGTGTCAGTAAGTAGAATTTTCAGCTTCAGTATTTTCTTATGAAATCATTATACTGCATTTAAACTTGATTCTCTTAGATGTCTTCCTTTTAGTCTTGTGCAGTCTTGATCATTTATCTTCCTAGAATCCTACTATTATTCATCTTTGACTTTACCACTTCCTGACATCCCTAAACATTTGATCATCTCACTTGCCTAGTTTTACTCTTGAAGTCTAATCCAGTTTTTTAAAACTTTTGTTTGTATTAACATGGCACTCCTTGAGTTCTCTGTTTCAAAAGATATCCTGCAAAATAATAAATTTTCTGTTTATGTGATACTAATTTTGCATATGCATTAGGATCTATTTCTACATTTCTGTCCCATTAAACTTTCCTAAATCTGGTTAAGTTTATTTTTTCAATTTGTATTTTATCATTATCATCTCTAGCACTGACTGTCGTCATTATCTGATTTGCCTTTGCAATGATATATATGGTTGACAGTTAATGATCACTTCCAATGGAAGTAATGTTGTAAGCAGATTATACATGACTGGTCTCATTTAATCTTTTTTGGACTGATACTTTGAAGTAAATATCATTATCCTTCATTGATAGGTGAGTAAATTGAGGCTCTTTGGAATTAAACCTTATTGACGATTATACAGATAGTGTCTTGGAAAAATGAGATACAATCTTAGTAACTAAGTTTGCATTCATTACTATACTCTTAAATACTAGACTAGGGATAGGGAGCCTTTTTTCTGCCAAGGACCATTGGATATTTATAGCATCATTTGTGAGCCATAAAAGATTATCAACTTATAAATTAGCCTGCTGAGGCTGACATTTTGGTGCAGGAGCTTAAGATGCCACCTGCAATGCTGGTATCCCATCTGAGTGCCAGTTTGAGTCCAGCTGCCCCACCTCCCACCAAATTCTCTGCTAATGTGCCTGGGAAAAACAATGGAAGATAGCCCAGGTGCTTGTTTACCTGCCACCCATGTGGAAAACCTGGATGGAGTTCCAGGTTCCTGGCTTTTCCTGGCCCAGCCCTGGGTATTGTGACTATTTTGGGAGTGAACCAGAGGGTAGATGATCTCTCTCTGGCTTTACTTCTCTTTCTAAAAAAATTTACCTTTTTAAATAAATAAATCTTAAAAAAAAAAAATAGCTTGCTATAGATTTACTTACTTTTGAGTCTGCCTGTGGTTACCTTGGCCGGACCAGATCAAATGTTTTGGCAGGTCATAAATAGCCCATGGGCAAGATATTCTGCAGTGCTGCATTAGACTAACTTATCTGCCTGCTTTTACATTCTTTCTACTCCATGATCTGAAATGATCGGAAAATATTACACAGTCAGAAAGCTTAGTTTTGTACTTCCTGTAGGAGTTGGCTGATTAATAACCAGATACCAAATCTATTCTTCGGCCTGTTTGTATACAAACCATAAATTAAGACTAATTTTTACATATTTAATGATTTTCAAATTTGTATCCATAAATAAAGTTTTATTGAAGTGTGAAAATGCTCATTTGTATGTGGTCTGTGGCTTCTTTAAAGCCACAAGAGCAGATTGAGTTGAGTAAATCTGATAGCAACTATATGTGGTACTGTCATTGCTTCCCTCTTCTGTTCAATGTACTATAAATTACAATACAATTATAACTATAGCATTTCAAGTGCTGCACATATTGCCAAACTGTAACAGCTTATGTTGTTTTTATTACTAGTTTATATTCATCACAAAAGAATAGAAAATAGACTTTGAATGTGATAGTTTTAAAATACATTGGAGTATGAATTATTGAATTAGATGGAAAATATTATTTATTATGCAGTGACGCTATAGCTATGCCAATATGAATTGACTTTACCAGTGTATCCACTCATCACAGTATTCCCAAGTCATTGAGAGGAAAAGTCATAAAAACTAGAAAATTTAAAATAGAATTTCTTATCACAGCAGAGTTTCATTACAAAACTAAAATGAAATTGGGAGTACATTCAAAGTAAGTATGCTTGTTTCTTGATGAGTTGACAGTTATTCATCTGTTATGTGTATATTTGAATGGTCAATACTGAGTGTGTCAAAAATTTCAGATGAAAACATTCTCCAAGAAGCTGAAAGTAATAATTGAATATGATCTTAGTGCATGCAGATGAGCAAAGGCTTTAATTGGACCAATTTAAAAAGATTATGAAAATGTAAAACTTCAAAAGCCTGTACTCAGAAGCTGAATATTCTGACTTGCTCTACTCTATGATTGCTCCATGGCTTAGTAGCAGACTTATTAGAAACATTTTTAGTTCATGGCCAGATTCATTTTTCTGAACTTGAAGTACCACCCTCTCATCACTTAGACACTGAATCGCTTTGAAAAAATAGTTTTTACTATAGATTTGACAGTTTCTTAATGAATTCAACTTACAACTACAGGGCAAACAGTGCATGTGTGTGAAACTTTTATGTAATGAAGCCATTTTGAGGACAGCTAATAGAATTGTTTCAATTACAAGTAACTTTTTGTATACTTCAGTTAGAAGTTAAGTAGTAAGATTCTATTTATACATGAAATTAGCTATAGATATATTTTCTAGTTCAAACCATAGTTCTAGTGTAATTTTTAGGACACTGATGCAGAACTTTGGTATTGTGAAGTCCTCGTGTGAAAGAGAGGCTTCCATATAACCTTTGATTAGAAATTATCTTTTTTTTTTTTTTGTCAGGCAGAGTGGACAGAGAGAGAGACAGAGAGAAAGGTCTTCCTTTGCCGTCAGTTCACCCTCCAATGGCCACCACGGCTGGCGCGCTGCGGCCAGCGCACCACACTGATCCGATGGCAGGAGCCAGGTACTTATCCTGGTCTCCCATGGGGTGCAGGGCCCAAGTACTTGGGCCATCCTCCACTGCACTCCCTGGCCACAGCAGAGAGCTGGCCTGGAAGAGGGGCAACTGGGACAGAATCCAGCGCCCCGACCGGGACTAGAACCCAGCGCCCCGACCGAGACTAGAACCCGGTGTGCCGGCGCCGCAAGGCGGAGGATTAACCTAGTTAGCCGTGGCGCCGGCCCTGATTAGAAATTATCAATCTGCCGTGTTAAAAGACAACATCAGAAGAAGAATCTAATAGAATTCTGTAATTTCCTACCAAGTGACAATTAGTTAATGTTCATGGGTTGATAGCATTGTTTGGCAATATTTGTGTGAACATCTTTAAATATGAAATAAATAAAATCTCATTACTGACTTGCATTATTATGGAGAGTAGCAGATACCAAGCCTCCTCACACTGCCTCAACCATTGTTTCACATGGAAATTTTTTTTTTTTTATGATGTCAGGTAAGGGTTCAATTTTTTCTTTTTTTTAATGTGGATATTCTCTTGTTCTGGTACCTTCTGTTAAACAACTATTCTTTCCCCATTGAATGATCTTGGTATCCTTTTTGGGTGAATGGAATTGTTTTCAAAAATCTTTTTTGGATTATTCATTAGGCGTGTATAAAGATATAGCTGGTTTTCATGTGATTTTATATCCTACAACTTTAGTAACTTCATCTTATTTTTAGCAATTTTGTGTACCTACGGCTTCTTCAGATTATGTCATCTTGAAACAAATGTATATCTTCCTTTCCAATTTGTCATTTACTTCATTTTATTGCCTAATTGCTTTAGGTAAATCTTGTGATACTGTGTTGAATATAAGTGGCAAAAGTGGTCATTCGCATCTTGTTCCTTATCTTTGAGGGTTGAGAGGGATGCTTTCAGTCCTTTGACCATTGAGTATGCTGTGGGCTTTATGTTTTTCATTTATGGACTTTATTATGTTGAAGTCATTTTCTGCTGTTCCTAGTTTAAGAGCTTTTATCATTATGAAAGTATATTGAATTTTGTTGAATGCATTCTCTATATCAGTTGGAATCCTTTGGAGGGTTTTTCCTTTATTAATGTGGTGTATTACCATTGATATATTTTTGCATATTGAACTATCCTTGAATTCCAGGGATAAACCCCAGTTAGGCATAATACACAAAGTATTTTGTTTAGGATTTTTATGTCAATGTTTCTAAGGAATTTGGTTTATAGTATTCTTGTAGTTTCTACTGTAGTTGGTAATGCTGGTCCTAAAGAAAAAGTTAAGAAGTATTCCCTGCTCTTCAGTTTTTTGGAAGAGATTCAGAGAATAAGTTTGTTGAGGATTTTTGCATCTGTGTTCATTAGGGAAATTGGTCTATACTTATCTTTCTCTGTTGCATCTTTTTCAGATTTAGGAATTACAGTGGCTTCATAGAAAGAATTTGGGAGGATTCCCTCCCTCTCTGTGTTTTAAATAGCTTGAGAAGAATTGGAATTGTTCTTCTTTAAGTGTCTGGTAGAATTCAGCAGTGAAGCCATCTGGTCTTGGTCTTTTCTTTGTTGGAAGGATCTTTATTACTGATTCAGTCTCCATCTTGGTTATGGGTCTGTTTAGGTTTATGAGAATAGGTATTAATACTTGATTAAATGTTTGGTATAATTCATCAGCAAGTTTATCTAGTCCTGGGCTTTGCTTTGTTCAGAGATTTTTTTTTTTTTTTTTTTGACTACTGATCCAGCTTCTTTACTATTTATAGATCTCTGGATTTTCTGTTTTTTTCTTGAGTCAAATTTGGCAGATTGGGTGTTTGTAGAAATTTGTGTATTTCATCTGGTCTGCTTATTTCTGTGAATACAAGTCTACATGATAGTTTTATACTTTTTAAATGGATATAAATTTTATACTTTTTAAATACATATAAAATTACTGGTAATGTTGCCACTTTCATTCCTGACTTTAGTAATTTGCGTCTTCTTGTTTTTTATTTAATCTACGTAAACATTTGTCAGTTTTTTGGTCTTATTTCTCCTTGTTGTTTTTTTTAAAAGATTTATTTTATTTATTTGAAAGACAGAGTTACAGAGAGAGGTAGAGACAGAGAGATCTCCCATCCGCTGGTTCATTCCCCAAATGGCCACAGTGGCCAGAGCTGCGCTGATCCAAA